TGTCAGACCTGCTGAGCTTTTCCAGCAACTTCTGTTTTTTGTTGTTGAGGATTTTGCAGGGTTGGGAAGGCTGTGTTTGCCGACATCATTCTAATATCTAGGTCAATGGTAGATTGTTTGTCCTGTTTCCTGCCTTTATTTAGATTTAGTAGCAGTTTAATACAACTGAGTGGCTTGCTGGGCCATTTCTGAGAGCCAGTAAGAGTCAACCAGATTGCTGTAAGTCTAGAGTCAAAAGTAGGCCAGACCAGGTAAGGAAAGCAGATTTCTTTCCCTGATGGACATTAGAGAACCAAGATGGGTTTTGACAACAATCACCAGTGCTTACATGGTCTTCATTAGGCCATTTTTAATTCCAGACATTTATTGATTTCAGACCTAAGACAAAATTGAGTATAAGGCACTTGACCTTGCCCAGATTTGGGTTAACCAATTAATACATTGATGAAGTAAAATTCCCCAGGAAAATTTATTGGAGTGTCTCCAATGCTCGAGAAACTAGAATTCACTTGGAATATCCAGAATAAAAGAGTAATAGGAGGAAAAGGTACAAAAATAATCTGTACCTTTTAATTTCTTACATTAAAAACTGGTGTTGTGGGATAAAAAGTAATTTGATTTATTGAGGTGGTTGGGAGCAGGTTTGAGAATTTGAGTATGGGAGCAAAGTGGTCTAGCTTCAATGCCATAGAACACTGGTAAGGATGCACATAGAGTATTGTGCAGAGTTGTGGGCCCCTTACCTGAGGAAGATACACTTGCCATAGAAGAAGTGCAAAGGAGGTTCAGCAAATTGGTTCCTGGAATAGTGGAATTGTCCTGTGAGGAAAAATGTCTTGTATTCTATGGCGTTTATAAAAATGAAATGTGAGAGTAGATGCCAAGTAGATCAGAAAAGAGATGTGAGGTCTACAACCAGGTGACATGGTCACAGAATAAAAAATAAGCCATTTAGGACTGAGATGAGGAGAAACCTCTTCACTCAGAAAGTTGTGAATCTTTGGAATGATCTATTTCAAGAGGTTGTGAAAGTTCAATTATTAAGTAGGTCCAAGACAGAGATAGATTTCTAGTTACTAACAATATCAAATGAAATATATCTCATAAATACAGGATAATTATCAGCTATGAAGATTCACTACATAGGCTAGAGTTGTTTTCCTTGGAGCATAGATGGATGAGGAGGGACCTAGCTGAGGTCTACAAAAGTATGAGAGGCTTAGATAGGATCAATAGTGTTACATCTCACTGGGGTTGCACACCGGAAGTCAAGCTCTGCTATTCCCAGAGCTGTCACATAAGTTGAAGATTTTAAAAAGTATACAGAATTCCCCAGTTTAACTCCCCTTTAGACCCAGGTTGATAGAACGCATGGACCAAGTTTCTGTACTGATCAAGAATTACTAGTTATTACAAGTGAATAGATACGGGTAAACAATTATGAACACTCAGCTAATTTTACCTGTTAAAGCTATTCCCCTTATAAACTCTCCCTTTAACACACAGACAGTAAGGCAGAGACAGAATAAAACATAGGTATTATGGACAGAGAAAAAACTGAGAACACAGTTCAGTGGTCTCTGTTCACTGGATCTGCTTCTTTGGTTTCCTTTTCTGGACACTTTCACTTGTTTGCAGGAAGCATGGAATGACTGATACATAATTATAAAAGGTCTCTGACTTTTTTATTAAAAGTCACAACTTAAAATAACTGCCAAATGAAGAATAAAGTCATGTTCATCAGGATTAAAGTGGATTTTACTGCAGAGATCAGAGAAAATTCCTGATCTGGTGAAGATCTGATGGCTTCTCTCAATCCACTCTCAAGCTGTACCAATCACATAGTTGTTGTCAGCCAGAAGGCCTTTATCATCAATAGCTAGTCACAAATTCACAAATCAATCAGCTACTTGTTACCGAGATAGTAGGAACTGCAGATGCTGGAGAATCTGAGATAACAAGGTGTAGAGCTGGATGAACACAGCAGCCAAGCAGCATCAGAGGAGCTTTTTTCTGAAGAAGTGTCTAGGCCCGAAATGTCAGCCTTCCTGCTCCTTTGATGCTGCTTGGCCTGCTGTGTTCATCCAGCTCTACACCTTGTTATCTCAGCTACTTGTTACCAACTGAATCTCCATTTGTGCACACCATTTGGCTCCAGCTCAACTGCACTTCAACCGAAATTGAACCCACACAAGGCCTTGAGGAATATAAAGGAAGCATAAAAGAACTTGAGCAGCAGCTGCGTCAACTTTAAATAATTAATTCCATTGAAAAACTTAACAAAATAACAGATTATTTAACTACTGAGTAGTAACTGTTCCAATATAGTAACATGCCACAAACACACCATTGGCAAAGGCAAATTCAGTAAAATAAATTGTCTCACAGGCAATTCTCCAGTCCAGGAGGAAAAAAAACCATTCAAGAGAAAACCCTGAGAGAGAGAGTAGCAGGGTGAGATATACTG